ACCGATTTTCCGCCTCATTTATTCAATGTCTGGTCTCATATTTCTCATGTTGAGGAAGATGTTAAAAAATGAGAGGATATTGGTGGACTTTTTTTTTTTTTTTTTTTTTTTTTTTTTAAATCTTGTGAACGAAGGAGAAAATGGGAAAATGACAGAATGAGGGAATGGGAGAATGAAAGGATGAGAGAATTAGGGAATGGGAGAATATGGGAAAGATAGAGTGGAGGAATGAAAATAAGAAGATAAACTGAAATTAGGTACTGAAAATAGGAGAGAGAGAGAGAGAGAGAGAGAGAGAGAGAGAGAGAGAGAGAGAGAGAGAGAGAGAGAGAGAGAGAGAGAGAGAGAGAGAGAGAGAAAGAGAGAGAAGAGAAGAGAAGAGAAGAGGGGGGGGGGAAGAGAGAGAGAAGAAGAAAGAGAAGAGAAAAAAGACCGAGAGAGAGAGAGAGAGAGAGAGAGAGAGAAAGAGAGAGAGAGAAAACATTATAAAGAGAAAGAACAACAGAAAAAAAGAAACACAAAAATAATTCTAATATAAACATTATAAAAAAAAACATTTACTACTTTATTAAAAAGAAGTAAAAAAAAAATACATCCCAGGTGCTAATGGAATCTTTTTAAAATTCAAACTTTGGCGGGGAAGAGCGTAACTTTAAAGTAAATGTATGGACAGAAGAGGCTTATAAAAAAAAAAAAAAAAAAAAAAAAAAAAAAAAAAAAAACACTTCCTCAACTTTCCTCTCTTTGTTTATTTTTGACTGACTATTTCTTATTCTCTTTCTCTCCTTCTTTCTCGATCTATCTCTATCGATCTCGTTATATGTGTAACTTCCCACTCTCTCTCTCTTCTCTCCTCTCTTTCTTTATCTTCTCTCTGTCTCTCTCTCTCCCTCTCTCTGTCTCTTTCTCTCTCCCTCTCTCTCTCTCTCTCTCTCTCTCTCTCTCTCTCTCTCTCTCCCTCTCTCTCTTTCTTCTCTCTCTCTCTCTCTCTCTCTCCCTCTCTCTCTTTCTCTCTCTTTCTCTCTCCTCTCTCTCTCTCTCTCTTTCTTCTCTCTCTCTCTCTCTCTCTCTCTTTCTTCTCTCTCTCTCTATTTTTTCTCTCTCCCTCACATACACACAGACAAACAAACAAACCCAAATTCTTCCACATACACACACATCCTCCCTACCCAAGAAAACAAACAAACAAACAAAATAGAATGATAAATATAAATACCCTCCCCCCCGCCCTCTTTCTCACGAAAAGAGAATAATATAAAGTTCGAAATAAACTCGGAAATAGCGAACAGATCCGAGACACAAGTCGAAGCTGTTTGGGTCCAACTTGTGTCTTTTATCAAGTTGTCTCGAGTTCTCGGAGGCAAGGAAACTGTGTTTTAAATTTCCTTTACAAATATCGATTGTTTTTTTTTCGTTTTTTAGTTCATTTTTTAAAAATTTATTTATTTATCTATTTATCTAAAAATTCCCGAGGTATCGTCTTTGTTTTTCGTCCCTTTTGTAAATATTTTTTTTTCTCTCTCGTCAAAAAAAACAAAACAAAAAAAAAACACGAAAAGTGGTAATAAGTTGATAAATAAATAAATGAAAAAAAATATGTGAATAAAGTGATGAGTGAACGGTATAAAAACTACAGCATATTCTAATCAGCCTAAAAGCGAGAAATTGAAATACATTTTCATAATCGATAACCACACAGGAATCGTTCTAAAATTATATACAACTTATATTTGGCCATTACATTGAAGAGCAGAAAGTAGAAAAAAATGAACGTAATGATAATATTTGGCAACCCATACATTGATTCAATCAATCAATCTATCTATTTGTCTATCTCCCTGTCTGTCTGTCTGTCTTTCTATATATATATATATATATATATATATATATATATATATATATATATATATATATGTCTCTATCTATCAATCTGCCTATATCTATATCTGTCTCTATCTATCAATCTGTCTCTATCTATTAATCTGTCTATATCTATATCTGTTTCTATCTATCAATCTGTCTATATCTATATCTTTCTCTATCTATCAATCTGTCTCTATCTATTAATCTGCCTATATATATCTGTCTCTATCTATCAATCTGTCTCTATCTATTAATCTGCCTATATATATCTGTCTCTATCTATCAATCTGTCTATATCTATATCTGTCTCTATCTATCAATCTGTCTATATCTATATCTGTCTCTATCCATCAATCTGTCTATATCTATATCTGTCTCTATCTATCAATCTGTCTATATCTATATCTGTCTCTATCCATCAATCTGTCTATATCTATATCTGTCTCTATCTATCTATACATCTATCCTTTTATCTATCTGTGTGTGTGCGTTTATGTACACAATATAAATAGCATTTCTTTTATATGTGAGTATATGTGCGCGCCGGTGGTTTGTCTCTATCTCTCTGCATGTGTCTGTGCGCTTTTCTTACGGACCAAACTGACCTAAAGTGTATCCTAAACCCCATGGGGATTTACAAACAAACACCCATCAACAATCAGAATACTCTCGCCTAACGGAAAATGTCAATACGCATTTAACTGCACCAAAACAAAGCAACCCAAACAAGCGAATCAACCACGAAATGACCTGAGGATCGGGACGGAGAGTAAGCAAGCTCGTGTGGTTTTTGAGATTCAGTAAAAACGAGAACGAGTGATGGAAACTATCGGGGAATAAGGATTACGCGGATACATAGGGATGAAAACACACATACACTCACAAGTACGGAAGTATATGAATTCATACACACACATACACACAGGTATAGATATAGATAGAAAGACAGATAGGCACACACACTCACATTCATATACACATGCGCAGACACACACACACACACAGACACACATACACACTCACATTCATATACACATGCGTAGACACACACTCACATCCATATACACACGTGCAGACATACACACACACTGATATTCATATACACATTTACAGACAGACACACTAGCCTTCATATACACATGCATGCACACACACACACCTACACATACAGACATTCATCCATTCATAAATAGCCATTCACAGGGCTATACATCCACCTACTCATCCACCTACCCACATACTTTCACATCCACTCATCCACCTTCCCACAGAGATCGACAGCCACCCACTCTCAGGCATTTACATCCAACCATTCACTCATCTATCTACCCACCCACACCCATCCACCCCCACATCCACATTCATCCACTCCCACACCCATCCACTCCCACATCCACATTCATCCACTCCCACACCCATCCACCCCCACATCCACATTCATCCATTCCCACCCCCATCCACCCCCCCTCATCCACCCCCACTCGCACATCCACCCCCACCGCCACATCCATCCACCCCTCATCTACCCGCACCCATATCCATCCACCCCCACCCACACCCACAAACACATCCACTCTCCCCATCCACCCTCACCCCCCCCCCACATTCACCCCCCCCCCCCCCCCCCCCCCCCCATCCAACAGCACCCACTCCCACCCCCACACCCACACGGGCGCTTCTCCTTCCAAGTCCAAACTTACGTCGAGAATTGGCAACCATTCAAGGCTTTTGTCCCTTGTTAACAAAGCAGCTCTCGCGATCACTTCTCTGTTTTCTTTTGTTTCCTCTTCTTGATTCTTGTCTTATTCTCTTTTATTCTCTTTTTTTGTGTTTTCGTTATTTAGTTTTGTGATTTATTGATTTTTTTTTATTTTTTTTTATTATTATTATTTTTTTCATTCTGTTTTGTTTATTTTTTCGTCTTTCCTCTAATATATTCTTGTGAATTTTCTTTCTGTTTTGTTGATTATTGTTTCGTCTTATTTCCCAAATCATCCAGTTTACCTCCTCATCCTTCTTGTCTATCATATTGTTTTTTACTTCCCTTTCACTAAGCTTCTCTCTCTCTCTCTCTCCCTTTCTCTGTCTGTCTGTCTGCTCTCCCCTCCCCCCCTCTCTCTCTCTCTCATTCTATTTCTCTCTCTCTCTCTCTCATTCTATTTCTCTCTCTCTCTCTCTCTCATTCTATTTCTCTCACTCTCTCTCTCTCTCTCTCTCTCTCTCTCTGTCCCCTCTCTCATTTCCCCCCTCCTTACCCCCTCCCTCCTTCCCCCAACCGAAACTCCCGCGAGAATACATTTAAGTATCTTCCAAACTTTCTCTTAAACCCAACCCCATTTTCTTCCAATTTGCACTTTCTCTTTCCCTGTCAAGACCACACGTTATGGCAAGACAGCTTCGAACACATCAGTCAAGCTTTTATCAACCTTAGGATGTGAAGGAAGGAGGAGGAGGAGGATAATGCTAAACCTAGGGATAGAAGGCGTTTTTTTTACACTTTAGGGACATACTTAAATGTCTGTATATATATATATATATATATATATATATATATATATATATATATATATATATATATATATATATATATACATATATATATATATATATATATATATATATATATATATATATATATATATATATATATATGTATATATATATATATATATATATATATATATATATATATATATATATATATATATATATATATATATATATATATATATATTTGTTCATACACACACACACACATAAATATATATAAATACACACACACATTTAGATCAACATAAACTCTCAGACCATCAAACACATAAAGTAGAGACAAATGTGCCTCCACGAACCCAACCACCTCGCGGCCTTCACACAAATCTACATTATCTACCAGCAAACGACTCTCTTCTACCTCATTACGGCCTCACACTCACACCCCCCGTCTTTCCTCTTCTTCCTCCCTCCTTCGCCTCCTCCTTCTCTGTTCTTCCTCTTCCTCTTCCTCTTCCTGCCCAGAGAGGCGAGGATGAGGAAGAGACGGAGCGAGGGAAAAGCGCGGAAGGGGGAAGGGAGGAGGATGACCTAGGGGCATGACCTGCGTTGACCCGGGGTGAGCGTGGCCTCGGAGCGACACTTACCGAAGGAGGTGACAGTGAGGAGGGGTCGGATGGGCGAATCCGCCGGGACCACCTGATGGGGGCTCGTTCCTACAT